ACGGGAGCTGATGAGATGGGACGGCAGCGCTCAAGAAACTACTGAGAGCCCGCGAGACCCAGCTGGCCTTCCGAAAACTAGAAGTAACCGGGAGGAAAGAGGGGAACGCCTCCATCTCCATTCCCACCCTCACCCACATTCAACATCATAGCTGATGGGGTGGAGCCTGTGTGCCCAGAGTGAGATTGGTGACATATCGTGTCTCATGAACATCAATACCAGGGTGTCCGTGACTGTTGGTAGGCCAGACGTTGCTGTCGGATGACCCAAAAGAAGCCGAGGTCTTGCTACATCCTGCGAATGGCATCAAGGGAGACGCCACCCATCGTGAAGGAAGCCTTAGTAGAACACTCTGGGGTGAAGCCACAATAGAATCCGGGTGTTCATCGCAGAAACCACAGACAGGTTCATCCTGAAATTGATGTCCTGTACACCTATAATGCATTCGTGGATCTAGGTGCTACATGCTGCTACTGGGTCAGGAAGATAGAGACCCGGGGCATGGCACTGGTCGTTCCTCCTTGTGGTGGACATTGACCACAATACCTACAGTATCCCCACGAAAAAATTCATTATAGAATGAAGCCCAGTGACTTACACTCTCGAAGGATTCTACTTAGCCAGAATCGGCAGAAGGTACCCACTGGGGTCCATTAATTCTACCTATAAAGACCAGACACCAACGAAAGGTTTCCCCATGGCATGCCATGAACCAGTCGTGCTGGTAACTCCACTTGGTGCAGTGGAACCTCTGACTCAAGAGATCGCCACAAAGTTACAGGACGAAATTAGCGGCCTCCATAGTCTAGGGGTAACGTTCCCACCTCATGACTCCAAGGTATGCAGGTTCAAACCTGGCAGAGGTCGTGGAATTTTTAAGGGCGGAAAAATTCAGGGAACAAGTCCTCCGGGAGGGACTTTAAGCCATGGGTCCCCGTGTCGTAGATTGATGGCACGTAAAAGGTCCTCATGTCTCTAGGAGACCTCTGAGCTAAATTAGGCAACAAGTTTCCCGCCCAAGTAGTTTCCAATGCCTCTGGTAGATGGGAGAAATATCAGGTACCGAGGGCTGACCTCATTGGCTGAGCGGGGCTGATAGCACACACCAGTACCGGTAGGGTATGGCGACAGTAGAAATTAAAGGGGGATGCACAATGGACCAATAACTGGTCTAAGTGCATGGGGAAACCCACCCCCTCTAATAATAAAAAAAAATAGAGGACGAAATTGCTACTGCCAGACCAAACTTCAGCTGTGAAGGGATCCAAGATTGGGAGCAACTAACTGCATGGTACAAAGACGCCTTTGCGATGGAGAACAGTGAATTCTGGGAGACCGAGGGTATCATTGCTGTAGAGGCCCAACTGATTCGACAACCTCCAAGGAGGCTTCCATTAAGGAAACAGGCAGAATTGTGCAAGATACTCAAGGACATGAATCGACGCAAGGTTGTCAAAGAATCAGACAACCCCTGGTCATCTCCCATTGTTCTTATCCAGAAGAAAATCGGGGATCTACATTCCTTCATAACCACAGGAATCTGAATGATGTTATACATAAAGAGTGTTTCCAGCTAAGTAAGACTGACAATGTACTGGACATGCTTGCTGGAGCCAAGTGGTTCTCCACCACGGTTCTGAAGAGTGGTTATTGGAAGATTATGCTACACCCTGAAGATAAGAAAAATGGCCTTCTCAGTGGGTCAAGGTTTGTATATATTGAGACATGCCCTTTGGCCTATGAAACACTACAGAAACGTTTCAGCAGCTAAAGGAAACCACCTAAAGAGGCCTCACAAGTCGTGTCTCATGTATCAGCACATGATCATGATTGGCTGCACGTTCTGAGAACACCTGGACAACCTACTGAAATGTTCCAAATTTTTCGAGAGGCCCATCTGAAGCGCAGCCTGGCGAAGTGCCAGTTATTTCAGAAGGAAGCACAATACTTGCACCATGTCGTGTCATTTGAGGGACTAATCGCATACCCCAAGAAACTGAAGGCCTTGCAGGAATGGGGGACTCCTAGGGACAAGCACGTACTAAGGAGCTTCCTAGGCCTATGTACTACAAGCGGTTTAACTTTGTTTTGGCCAACATTGCAAAACCACTGACCAGACTCAAAGGAGAAACAAGCCTTTCAGTTGTCCCCAGGAGTAGAGGCTGCCTTCCAGTCGCTGAAGGACACCCTCTGTACTACACCCATCCTTGGGCACCCACTAGAAGAAGAGAAGTTCATCATTGACACAAGCATGAGTAATATCAGAATGGGAATACTTTTGCAGGTACAGCATGGTGAGGAGTGGGAAACAGACTATGCTGAACAAGACATAAGAAATGATTGAAAACATGTTTCTGGCACAACAGATAGAGTTGCAGCAATAGAGGACGCTATGTTTTCAGTGCGGTCCATGCCAAGAAATATAATGAGGGCCAGCAGTAGTATGTCTGTCAGTCAGTCAGTCAGTCAGTCAGTCATGAGTAGCTAGTGAGCAGTACCAGTTTGTTTTGGCTGTGAGGAATTTCCATTGTTGGCAGCCTTTACCTAGCAATGACTAGTGGTGAAAGAATAACAAACAGAAGACCTTATGTTTTCTGCAGTTATACTGATTTGTAGAGGGTTCAATTTAGCTAGACTGTTGTAATCATTTGTAGTTACAAGTTATAAGCCTCAGGGAAATCAAGTTAACTAATCAAACCCCATGTCTAGTCACTAACATGTGACAGTATCATCATGGGTACGTAATACCTAGAGTAGGCAGCCTTATGCCATAAATTCATGTGTGTTCCATGAGATCTCTGGTATACCAGGTCAGGTCACCATTGTATGATGAAAATGGTTTCATAACTTGACAACTATGATCTCTGTCAGTATCTGATGATGGTGATACAGCTTGAAAGATGATTTAGACACTGCATGTGTTTTGTGTGCACCCTGCTTCAGGCTTAGAGGCATGTCAGCATTTGAGAATATTTGCAGCTTTCAAATATGCATGTGCAAATACATAACCCAGCACATTTTATAACTGAAATACATGTAATAAATGAGCTGTAAAAAGGCCTGAAAGTAAAATTTGGTTGCTGAAGGAGAAGAAAGGAAATGCAGTATTTGTATGTATCTGTTTATATGCATGTATGCTGATATGATTCCTAAAAGTCAGAATCTTGAAATTGGAATAATGTTGCAGAGTCATCTGTTGCTAGGTGACATCAAGCGTCAGTCAGATAGCCATGTATGTGCATGACAACCACAAACAGCAGTCAGGGAACTGTTAGGGGTGGTGTTTTGTAATCAGTCTGCAACAAAACAGTATGCAGAGCATCTTTGAGCTAAGAAAGGAGTCCCTATTATCAACCCAAAACCTAGCAGTGTGGCTGTGAAGGCAGAGCAAGCAAGGAACCAAGCAAGAGTGATATAACAGATTGTGACATTATAGTGAATACTCATAAACAGTGTAGTTATTTGTAAAGAAGACAGTTTGGTGACCAGTAAATCCAGTTACCAGTCAGAATCCCTTGTATGGTCACTATCACGTGATAATATGTGTATAAGTGTTTACAAGGATTGTAAAATTAGTTTATAGCATTTAGAATTAGCCAGAGAAAGAATTCACTTGCAGATTTTTCAGGTTCATGGCAGTGAATATTAAGATATGGTCTCCTGTAATGTGACATTGTGTACTTAAGTACATAGATACCACCATTTCAGAGGATCATTCTGTTTCCATCATGAGGAAAGAAGGCACATTTGCTATGAAGATAGAGGCAATGGGTGTTACCAGATTGCTGTTACTAGATTGCATGGTGTCACATCCCAGAAGACTGTGTTTTTACTTCACTTGCAGTTTTGCAACATGGTGCAGTTGCTATGTGTGGGTTTGAGTTTGAGTTTTTCTTGTAAACGTATGAGTGTGAAAGAAAGTATGGTGTTTACTGCGTGTATTGTTGCCAGGATTGGGATGACAAGCTGTAATGAAAGGAATGTTTTGAATTAGATGTTCGAGAATTTGAAATGCCCCACACACACACACACACACACACACACACACACACACACACACAGGGTGTTTCACGACTTTAGCGCATAACTGCAGGAGGTCATTTCCTAGGTCTCTGTGATCAAAAAAGTTCATATAAACATGTGTCTGATTTTGGACGGTTATGGAGTTATGACCGTTTTAAACTCAGAATAGAAGGTAACGATTACTGACAATAAATGGAACAAAATAATAAACCATCATAATACATGATATATTTAAAGTATGAATGTAAAGTTAACTTCGTGAAATTACCTTTAATTTGAATTTATTTATTGCTTAAAGCTGATTTTTGAAAATGCCACCACCAGCCGCAACACAGGCTGCTGCTCCATTATGAACCGTGCCGGATATACAACCCCCCCCCACCTTAGGTACATCTCAAGTGTCGAGATAATGAGAACGCTCTGTCTGTAGCTGGCTAAAAATAGTGACCCGACAGCTGACAGACGCAGTTCACACGAGGGCGTGTATTGGAATGAAAAAACAGTCATAACTCCGTAACCGTCCAAAATCGGACACATGTTTATATGAACTTTTTTATCACAAAGACCTAGGAAATCACCTCCTGCAATTATGCCCTAAAGTCGTGAAACATCCTGTGTATATATATATATATATATATATATATATATATATATAATTTTGGTATATGCCTGTTTTAATGACAGGCTGAGATTTTGCCATGTATGCTTTACGTGTAAATCTCTATCGGCATTGTAAAACCCTTATTTAAATGATCTATTTTAAAGATTTACTGTGGAGAAGCATTTTATCTGACTTCATCAAGTCAAACTGCTTGACAAAGTCAGATAGATTGTTTTTTCACTGTAAATCAGTTCATTGACTGCTACTCATATTCCTAGTAATAGACATTTTAGCTGAATGCATGCACATTGTGTGTTATGTGGCACATTAATTCATAAAAGCTGCAGAAGTTTATTTTCATATTGTTATTTCCTAGACGCGTGGGTCAATACCTCTCTTCTGGAATCAGCTTCCTAACCTCAAGTATAAACCTAAGCCACACCTGATTCAGAATGAGAACCATACAGAGGCTTTCTCAAGACATTTTGACACACAAATCTTCAATTATAGCAGGCAGGTCCTCATCAATCTGGTGAGTTTATGTTTTAGATTAAATATTAATTTATTCATGCAACACTTATACGTGTGACGTGAAATATTGGTACCTGTTTACCTGACTATGTGGCATCATATCCCATAATATTAATGTTTCGTTCACTTGTCAGAAATACGTGCGATAAATTGTTAGAACAGAGATTTACTGTTATAGAGTGTGTCCACAAAGTGCCTTTGAGGTTTTGAAAAATTATAGTGCACAAACAAATTGAGCTAGCCACATGCAGTTTGTGGCAGATCATAGTGAAAGTCTGGAAGTTTTTTACTGATCTCAGTAGACCTCGATGTAGGCTCCCTTGGTAGCATGGAGAACGTCCAAATGATATTCGAGCTCTTGCCATGTTCCGTGGAGCATGTCCACTGGAATAGCCGAGATCGCATTCCTGGTACAGATCTTCAGGTCATGAAGTCCATTAATTGGTGTTCGAAACATACTGCTCATGACATAACCCCACAGGACGAAATCCGGTGGTGTTATGTCTGGTGCATGTGGAGGCCAAGGCATTGGACCATCTCTGCTGATCCATCTTCCTGGAAATATCCTGTCTCGGAAAGCAGATTTTTTTCTGTGGGGTTATGTCAATAGCAGCTTGTTCTGAACACCAGTTAACGGACTTGATGACGTGAAGACCCGTATTAGGAATGCAATCTCAGCTATTCCAGTGGATGTGCTCCACAGAACATGGCACGAGCTCAAATATCATCTGGACGTTCTCCATGCTACCAAGGGAGCACACATCGAGGTCTACTGAGGTCAGTAAAAAACTTTCAGACTTTCACTATGATCTGCCGCAAACCGCATGTGTCTAGCTCAATCTGTTTGTGGACACACTGTATTTGTAGTGAAACTGAGTAATAATGCCCCTGATATTTAGAAAGTGTTGCACAAGTTTGTGTAAAGAGAGGGCACTGAGTTTAGCACAGTATTTATGTGGGTTAAACAGTTTCAGGAAGGAAGGGATGATGAAAAGTATGGTATTCTAAGATATGTTGCCATTATCTGATAGATAGATACCATGTTTTTTCAATTCTGAAGATGGTGGTACCCTTTTCTTCCAAAGTATTGGTATTCTCAATTATACTATGTAACATTAAATCCCGGAATACCATAATCTTAATATCTCCACTGTAAGAACTGTCTGTCATTACAGGTGACAGAAAATTTAGGCTGATTAATCAGAATTTGGAAAGATGATGAGAAATGATTGTTGATTGATTGGAAAGTAGCTGAGTGACTGAAATAGGATGTCTGTGTCAGAACTCTACCAACTTTGCAATCAGGAATAATGAGAAAAACTCAGACCTGTCAGCAAAATAGCTTGAAAAACGAAACCTTTTAGAAAAAGTAGTGAATGGTGATGAGACATGGATGTTCCAGCATCATCAGTAAACATTGCCAAAGGACTCAATATAAAAGGTCCAGAGACTTTGGGACTCAGTAAATTGTTAGAAATTAAGATCAGAGTTGTCCTTATATGCCTTTTTATAACAAAGGAGCTGTTCATTATGAATAAGTTTTTCTGAGAGTCTGCGGAATATTGTACTTTCAAGTATTTTTAATGTTTGCTGCAGACAATTAATTGAAAATGCCAAATCTTTGGTCAGACAAGTGGATTTTACATTGTGGCAGTTCATCTTTGAGGTAGGGAGAGGTGGAATTGTGTAGGACATAGGTTCCCAACGTGTGGGGTGGTCTCGCCTGAGGGAGCATGTTGTTTGTATGAAAAACTGATTTTAAGGAAATATGGAGAAACATTAAAATCCTTTGCTTGGATGAGGTAGTTTAGTTGTGATGCAGTACTACAGAGTTCAAACTTGTAGAGCATCGACAGTTTTAGGAAGTAATGACTCTGTGTGAATAAATCTACATAATGTTATGGACTCAACTTTGCAGCTGTATGAGGAATGCTAGTATATTTACCATTAAACCAACTCACTCTATTGTTGAAGTGTACAAGAAAGCTGCTCACCCCCTCCCCCAACTTTCTTCACCATCTGTGCCTGTGAAGCTGAGTGCTTACCTATGATCCTGAGCAATACAACTCTTGTCTCAAACTCTGTGAAGCCATGTTATTCATTGTTAATGTAGGTTAGTGAGTAAAGACATTTATATATTGCAGTTATTCTTCAGTGATAGACTTAAGCATGTTAAGACAGAAATACTTCAATTATAGATTATGATATGTTAACATAAAAAACAAATCAGTTCCATAGTGTACAGGCATAAAACATACATCCCATAATGTTTACTGCATGTAGTGAAGCACTAATAAGTGGTGTTTTCATCATCATAGAATAATGTGCAGGTTTTTAATGTGTATAAAATGAAAGCCATTTGATGAACCTACAGCAAATAGTAGTTGGAGCTGTATGTAGAAACTGAAATTGTACAAGTACAATGAATCAAATTTGTCTTTTGGTTTCATGAGTATTATAATTAACACTGAAGAATGATCTCAGTGTGTGATGTGTCTCAGTATCTGAACAGCGAACAGTATGAAGCCAAATAAACCGAAGCAGCGCCTTGAAATGAAACATTCAGAAATGGAAAATAAGCCTGAAGAACGCTCCATACAAAACTTGATGAGTTTGTTAATACTGCTGCTGTGTCATTGAAAACCCTGTTAGCATCTCATCAAGTGACATACAGAATAGCACAGAACAAGAAGCCGCACACAACCGCTGAAACTGTGACACTCCCTGCTGCAACAGATAAAATGTGCTCAGCAGCCTCATAATATACTGCTTTTAAATACCACAGTATCTCAGTGGATTGCTGATGTATTAGAAGATTTAGAAGAACAGCTGATTGAGGAGTTGAGAAAGAAAGTGTTTTCAGTACAGATTGACAAAGTTACTGATTGTAGTGATATTGGTCACTTGATAGCTTATGTGCAATGTGTTGAGGATAGAACAGATAATGAAGACGTTTCCTGGTGATGGTAGTGGCAGCGGTGGTGATTTTGATTTCATTGCTGTGTAACGATGGATAGCTAAGGAGGTTATGCCATATACTAATATCATTTGTTCTATAATGGATCCATTAAAAGGAGTTGGCTTGCTACATTACATATTACTTTAGGAGGTACAGAATTATATTTTGCCCATGAAAATAACCTGAAGATGATCATTAGTCAAACTTTATTGTGACTGAAATACATGGGATACTGTAAGATGTGTATATGTCAATAAAATGTAGCTTTCGTATTCAGAGAACAGCATTAACTGGTGACTCATGTATACTGTGTACAATTTTTCAGGTTGATCACCATGGAGCAGAAGGTATACTGGAAAAATCATATGGTGAAATGGTGAACCAGATGGGCAACTCAAACATTAGGTAAAATGCTTCTCATTTTAATGCTGGATGCCAGAACCTAGATAGATCAGTTCTGTACAGGTTAAGATCATGTATAAGAGACACAGTTTAAGAAGACCATATTAGATTTATACTCTTGTAATGGTGAATATTAAGATTCTGGTCTTCTTAGATTTGATGCTTTGTTATCTAGCAAACAGTACCAATATATTGGACACTGCCTCCATCTTCATGGTAGAAGAAAGGAGGGCTGTAGTGCCAAAGAAAAAAAAATTACAAAACTGTACAGCATCACATCCACAAAGACCATGGTCATAAAGACTACTGATGGAACATGTATAAAGGTGATTTTCATATTCTTAATTTATGGTGTTGCCCTCTTATTCTTACTGAAGAAATATATTCCATTCAGTTGTGCACTTTCTACCTAAAATATGTTGGAAGTATGTGATTATCAGGTAGTGAGAGTGCATTGTTATTCTTGGATCTCTGGAAATTTCTAGTAAAGACTGAGTTGAAAGATCTTGAGTACTGACAATGTGGAACCTTTACAACTGCTACCCGGATACTCAACTTACTGTTGCTGATTACGCACTGCTTGCCTGATGGTGCAGGGTTGTTCTTGAGAGTCTCTCTGACCTGCTTCTCAGCAACTCGCATCATACTCACCTGTGATGTTATGCATTACTGTGGTCAAAGAAGTAACTAAGTTTGCTTTTCCCAGCTGTCTTATAGGGTGGGACAGTTGTATCATCATTATCAGGAAGTGATGTATGTTGTATTGTAATTTGGAAATCACTCTGTATACAAGAAACTTGCAGTATTCATATTCTCGTCACCAAATAGAAATGATTCTGTCTTTATGTCTGGGATGTGCATTATGTGCCCAGTTTCAACCTCAGTAAGGGGGTTCAAATTTTATGTTAATTGGTTACAACTTCAACTGAATTGATGTTAGGTGTCACTTGCTATCAATGTGAGTGTTATAAATAAAATGAACAGTAATAAAATATATAACAAGTTGCAAAAGAATGTATTGGTATTCCTGCACGTGGTTGTCAATTAAAAATGTAAGTTCTGTCATAATTGTGGTTCAGATATAAATGTTGTAGTTGTAAGTGTTCACAATGTGGAGTTCTGACCAACAGTCTAACCACTTGTGACTAAACAGGAACACCTTAACAGCCACAGACAATAACATTGCAGCACTTGGATTGTGGGAAAACCTCTTCAAAAGCATTAGCTAGGAAAACTGGAAATGCGGTGAGAGGATATTACTAAGCTGAAACTTCGAGAACTAGGTTGAAGGGATGGAACTGGTTCAGAATCTTATCAAATGCAGACTTTATTTTTAGTGACACTGTACTTTCATATTCTGCTGCTAGATAATCGGTTGATTTTTGTTATTTGGTTCTTCCTGGTCTGTCCAGTTTTATTGGTAAATGTTTTTTCTGTCCTTTATAATCTTTCATCTTTGACATGTTTCTGTCTGAGAGACTTCAGAAGAATCTATCAAGCGGAAACTACTATTACAGTGTGATTGGTCAATATAAATACATACATGTATACAAGTTTAAATGTCAGATGTCTTCCTTCCTATAACCATTATTTAGTGATATATTAATAATAGTATTTAATTCTTTGTTTTTGATGTTTTCTTTAAAGGCTAATGTGAGAAGTCTGTGTATCCAGTTTTTATATGCTGCTAATTTTTGTTTTTTTGGGGTTGTGTGAGTTACTATTTATTGTTTTATCTGTCGTAGGTTTTCTGTATATTTCCATTTCTATTTGTCCTTGTTTATTAATTACATTTAAATCCAAGTACGGTATTTGCTTGAGGAACGCCGTCTCCTGGGATGTGGCGCTGTGTAGATATTATGTTAACCGATGTTTTGGAGGAACGTATTGCCTCCACCTTCAGGGTTGAAGAAAAAAGAAGATCTACGAGTGAGGAACCAGTGTGATCATGTTCTGACAGACTAATGTCGAGTCGGATAAACCCAGCTGTATAAGAGCAGGAAGAGAAGGGAAAGGAGCTTCATGGGAAATGAGTAGAGAGGGGGGGGGGAACGGTCTGTGGAAATGAACCTGCAGGTAGCCAGCCAGAGCAGGTATAGAATATTCTGTTGGGGGGAGAGAGAAAGGCAAGGTTAATTGGAGGACATTAACATCATGCTGCGATGAGTGTCGGGCATGGACCTGTGTGGCCTTGTGGATCTGGTGTCTTGCCCCAGAGGTTTCTTGAGCGAACAGATGAGAGGCTTCCGTGACTTGTTGAGACAGAACCCCACCTCTCTGTTGATATTGCCCGACATAGGGCAGGAAGGCGAATGAGTCTGGCTTATCGTCAGGCCGACTGATGTTCGGGTGAAGGTTGAGAACTCTGTGGATCTGCCAGTTGTAACTGTTTTGCATGAAAACTTCCCCCAGGAGCACCAACTTCGCATGTAGGCTGTCTTGATCGCATAGAGCTCTAGCCCTGTGCACCAAAGTGGAAAGTACAGCTTGCTTGTTGGATCGGTGGTGGTGGGACCCAGCGTTAAGGTAGAGGTCTGTATGGGTAGATTTGCAGTACACTCTATGGCCCAGAGAACTGTCGGGTCTCCTGTATATATCTATATCCAGGAAGGGGATGTTGCCCTCAATTTTGGTCTCCATTGTGAATTGAATGCACTGGTAGATACTGTGTAGGTGGTTCAGGAAGTCCTTAAGCTTGTCGGGCCCGTGTGGCCAGATGATGGTGTCATCCATGTAGCAAAACCGGTATCAAGACTTGTGAGGGGCCAAGGCAACTGGACTTGGTCATCTTCCTGCCCTATATTGGGACTATATTCAACCGACTCAGCAGAGTGCTGTCCCAGCTCAACATCAAATCAGTGGGCCTGCCTCCAAAGAAATTATCTAGTTTCTTCCAGCCAGTCAAAGATAGCCCAGACTAAGAATACTGCTTGTATGCAGAATCCCCTGCGAGTGCAGCAAGGTCTACATTGGGTAGATGGGCCGTTCTATGGACATGAGGTTGAAGGAGCATCAGCAGCACATCCATCTCAAACATCCAGAGAAGTCAGCTGTGGCTGAACACAACATTGATTTGGGACACCACATTCAGCTTCAGAATACCTCCATCCTTGCCAAGACCCTGTATATGGATCACATCATTATGGAGGCAATTGAGATTGAACTCCATCCTGACATTATGGACAGAGAGGTGGGGTTTTTTCTCAGCATTACCACAGACCCTTCCTCCCTCTCCTCTCTACTGATTTCCCATGTAGTCCCTCTCCCTTCTCTTCCTGCTCTTATACCTGGGTTTATTCGACTTGACATTAGTCTCTCAGAACCTGCTCACCCTGGTTTATCGCTTGCAAATTTTCTTTTTTTATCCTTCTACCCTGAAGATGGAGATAATAAGTTCCTCCGAAACGTCGGTTAACACAGTATCTACAAGGCGCCACATCCCAGAAGATGGCTTTCTTCATAGTCATCGCCATGAAAACCTCAAATCTTACACAAGCTCTTTGGTTGTTTGTTTCCTCATTTATTGTGAATTGTAGATCTTTATGTTGTGCAGTGAACTGTTCAAGTAGGCTTTGGGGAGTTATTTTTGTTTGATTATATTGTCACATGTAGGGGGGTACACGTGACAAAATGATAGGTTCTTGTTCGGATGATTGGATTTATTAACAGCTTGGTTACACGCACTCTCCAGTTACACTCAAATACAGTGCTATCATTGATTTACACAAATAAAATCTTCTAATAATGTGTTCAGTTCTTCTCGCAACTGACTGACTTCTGTTCTGCCAAATACTCGAATACTCCTAATGCTGACTAAGACTGCCTTTGGTGGCTCCTACATTTCAACTCACTTTGGCGGCTACTATATTTCAACTGGAAACTTCGGTGTTCCAGTTTCTCTTATAAACCCTCAGTTGGACAGGCGGAAAATGCAGTTTGCTTCACTGTTGCGTGATGCCGTATTTACAGAGGCGTTACTTGGCAATGCTGCTGAGGTTGTTTATAGCTGTGTAGCAGAAGAGTCTGTCTTCGTGGTAACTCGTTCCACATCCCGTTGTCCAACAACGGTTTGACATGTCACAATATATTATGAAGATGTCATCTATGTACAGTATATGCCAAAATATAGAGTACTGAAATGAAAAGACATCCTGTTGATACCACCATCTATTCATGTGAAGGCCCCTTGCACAACAGAACCTTCTCAAATCCTGAACAAATGGTCCGATCACCATGTCCCTGTAGCATTCTTGGGTGACAGTAAGAGCATTGTCTTCCTCATTCTCAGTGAAATAGGGGCCTAATATACGGTGTGCTGAGACGGCACACCATATCGTCACGCATGTACTATGTAGCAGTTTCTGGACGATAACATCTGGCTGCTCAAAACCTAGGAAGCGAGTTATCTGGCGACCACTTCCATATGAGCGGAAGTAATAATAATAATAATAATAATAATAATAATAATATATGACATTTTCATCTTCCAGCAAATGTTTTATTCTATTTTGTTCTGGATCTTGTAGGAATGTCAGCCACAGTACTAGATAGAGGTGAACCCATGGCTACATCCTACTTGTTTTCTAAAATTTGTCATCATATTGGAAATAGTTTTGATTCATAATCATCTTAAGTATAGACATGATTTCTTTTGTAATGCATTTGTCAATGTGATTATTTCTAAGTAATTTATTAGTTACAAGGAGTGTATATTTTGATTGGAATATTGACATGAAGGTCCTTAATAACCATTTTTAATAGTTTATGATCTGGATTTAGTTTCAGTTTTCCTATATTTTCAGCGAACTGTGCTGTGTTGATGATGATGTACTCGTGTTTTAATTTTAGAAAATTTTTTAATTTTTTAATATATACGAGAAGTGTTCTGTATATAATGTCTTCTATTTTTTTTAATGAAAACTACAACAGATACAGAAACATAATAATGCAATTAAACAGAACAAGATTTCAGCTACTTACAGTTATTTTTCCACGTAATCAAC